GTGTGAAAAGAGCCGGAGCTAAACCGAAGAACCGGTTCTGAACCTGAAAAGCTCTAGCACGGAGCTTGAACCGGAGTTGCGTTGGAGTGAAAGAGGTAAATGTGAATGTTAGGTCCTAGAGTAAGGTACACTGCTCGAATGGGTGCGAATGGGTGAATGACATGTAGCATGTAAAGCGCTTTGAGGGGTCTTAAAGACTGGATAAAGCGCTATATAAATACAGTCCGTTTACCATGTACGGCCCATTTACAGTGTAATTCCAGATAAGTGAGGAAGTGAAACTGAGTAATTTGACTGTCCAAAATGTGAGGGATGTGTACTTTTCCAGGGAAATATTCCGAAGGTTTTATTTCACTAAATATATCTGAGATCTTGAGTTGACTTGTTGATAAAAGGGTCCTAATACTTCTTCCAGCGCAATGTGTGTCCCTTTGCTCTAAAAACCTGACGGTTGAGATGGTTCAGTTTGAACCAGTTTGAGGTTTAAATTGTTGTTTCTCTTGTTGAAAGGGATTGAAAACTTTAATCTAAGTTCTGCTGAGAGGACGAGGCCGAGGGGAAAACAAGACAATTGGCATATTGAAGTGGAGGTTTGAAGATCTGAGCAAACAATACAGAGGCAGATGAGTGAAACATTGTGAGGGGCTGTGGCAGAGGAGGTTATATCTGTAGCAGTGGTAATAAGAGTATTACTTCACTGTTTTCTACAGCGCTTGTTCAAATGTCTAAAAGTACCTTGGTGGCTGAAGTGCCTAAAACGTACATTCTTTCAAATGGCCATTCTTTTCTATCTGCAGTGGTTGCCAAAATAAGACTGATAGTATAGAAGTCAATGAGAAAATGATCCGACTTCTTACTTGATTTAATACATCAGTAATCATCTTCCTAAGGAGTTTATGGTCTCTAATGGCTAGATTCAAGTCTTTGTACATTTTGAGTAAAGTAGAGGAAAATGGACTGAATGCTTTAGGGCGTGGCTATACATTCATAAGTTGCTACTATGACTTATTAGCTGTTTAGGGCTGTTACTGTATTAACCATATTTGTTGTTGCTTTTAACACACTGTCCAATACTTGTATAATAATGATTACAATCAGGATTATAATTAATTTTACTGCTAAAGCCTCAATTCTCAGGCCACCATTTTCTTAGTCATTACTGCTCAGTGACTTGAATTGATCAGCAGAAACAGCGAGACGCAGTTAACAGACAGTCGAATCAGGAGTAATTAATGATTTGCTTACCCTGGGGAATGAATGAGACTAATAATAACTAACATGATAATGGAAGTGGATAGTTGACACCAGGAGGCTGTTACAATGTGGAAACACTCAATTATTTCCTATTGATTCATTTTTTATCTACTCTTTAATGAACTAATGACATCTCTATGGTTTCTGATGTTATAAATCTCCGTCTTAACATCAGTGACATCGCTGAAAGTCAGGCCCTTACTGCAAATCCTCCAACGACGAGGGAGAGAGGAGAGCAGGGGGGGGGGGGAATAGAAAAAGAGAGAAAGAGAAGTGCGCCTGCAGTTGATCACAGACCCGCCCCCTCGTCAGTCTCTATGGCGATAAATTGGGACCGGCAGCAGGCTTTTAACGAGCCGCTGATCTATCAGCTTGACTCAAACACTCCACTGCAAATTTCAATATATCCTGCAAATCTTTTAGCAGTTAACAGGAGGAGAGAGAGAGGTTTGTAACCTTCATCACTTGTCTGAAGAGACTCTCAACCGACCCATTATTACGCCGGCAATCAGTGGCATTTATTTTCTCTCTGTGTGTAGCCTACATATACATGCACACACCATGATCAAATGTCTCTTATGAAACACACAGTGCTGGCTCTTACTTCTGATTGGCTGAGGCACGTTGGAAGATGTTGTGCAATAACAAAAAATAAATACGTGCTGCAGTGCTGGATGTGGAGTTTCCTTCCTTCAGACCGGCAGCCCGCTCTGGGCTATTATTACGGGGTGCTATGATCACTCTGATGTACTGATGCTGCAGCTGAAGTTATAGAATAAGGTTTACAACAATTACATGCACACATTACGGTCTTTGGTTAAAATTCTTTGAGCTATAGCCTACTTTGTCAAATCTACCTTGAAAAGAGAGAAACTTCAAGGTTTTATGATGGTGCCGCCTTTTCTTTAGTTTAGATTCATTTGAAGGTACTTGTTATATATTGTATAAAGCATTGACATCAATGTTGAATCATAAAGCAGAACAGATTACCCACGAGCCACAGATTCTCATCCACAACCAAAAAAGAGCTTTCCTGCTTTAGTTGACCCCTTATAGACAAACATGAACACAGGTCTATAGCTTTTTTAATTAACTAGCCTATTAACTTAATAGCTATAGTCAGTTTGCAGGCTAAAGAGGTGCTTAGCTGCAGCATATAAAGCTCAGCGCGTGAACAGACCTTCAGTTGTAACTTCAAATATCAGTTCACCTGCAGTTAGCATGTTAACCCATTAGTGGGGGTGAACATATATCATGTTATGCGTGTAGTATTGTAGCTCGTTAGCCATTCAAACACATACTGTGCTCTAAAGTAAAGCCTGCAGTCAGGAGAACACGATAAGGGGTGGCACAGGAACAGAAATGTAAGTGGTGATTGTTCATCATAAGTTGTGTTCATGTTTTAAATACATTTCCCCAAAATGCCTTGCAGTAAAACCCCTATACATGTAGTAATAATATATTATGCTTAAATGTGACCATGGATCAACAGAGCCAATGACCTCCAGAGACATTTTGTAAGTTTAAACCAAAGCAGAGATAAGCAATAAAAACTATTTATATTCATTTAAGTTTCCCTTCTTCTCTCCTGTGTGTCTCCTGTGCACAGAGCATATCAAATATATTAAAATCATTTCATTCAGACAAATTAGGCAAATCCACAAAGTCCTCATTAGCGGGTCGATGCGTGCATTTAGTCTCACTTAATGGTTGGTTTGTTTCTACCTGCAAAGCGTTTTTTTAAAAGCAGCTTTAAAGTGGGTAAATATTTAAATATAGCAGTGGTGAAATGAAGCCACAGAGGCATACGCTAATGTGTCAGCATCATGGCAGAGCACGAGCCGTTCCCCCCCGGCGGAGATGAAAAGCCCCCTGCAGTGGGTGGATGGAGGTTAGAATAGTCAACCTCCTGCTAGTCTGTGAATAATGCAGCTGTCAAAAAGCTCAAAATTAAACACATTGAATACACACAGGACAGCCCCGGGCTCTGCTCCACTGTGCAGCACACACACACACACACACACACACACACACACACACACACACACACACACACACACACACACACACACACACACACACACACACATACATACATACAGTATGTGTATACTATGCATACACAAATGCAAAAAGAACATTGTTTACAATCAGGCCGACACACACAGCCATCTTTAATCCCTTAGATGCACATTAACACACATTTGCATTTACTAATATAAATACACACACACACACACACATAACAAACTAAATGCGTTGTCATACAATTTAACAAGTTGAATAAATAATATAGGCTATTTGGTTCCACCACCAGAGTGCGTTTGGTGTTTAAACACTTTTAACTTTATTTAATTTGCTGATTTGTTCTAGATTAGTTATTTCTCTTATTAATAAAAGGGGATCACTATTCTGTTTTTGAGACTAAGCCACTATTTATTTGATTGGGTTAATTAAATATTCTGTAATGATGACAGAACAGGATAATGTTACAAATTTGCTAGCTAGCTAACAGCGGCAAAATACCCACTCTGCACAAGTGTTGAAAGTGAACGACATGGCAGTAACGGTAATGGAGTGCATTTGTACAGCTCTTGAGCGGTCTTTATGACCCCTCACAGCACTTTTACAAACAAGTCAGCATTCACCGATTGACACCCATTCATACAGAGGCAGGGGCTGCAATGCAAGGTCCCACATACTCAAGGGAACTATTTGTTTGTACATGCACACACATTCACACACTGTCCATCGGGAGAACTTTGGGGTTAAGTACATTGCCCAAAGACACATCGACGTGTTGACCGAAACCCAGAACGACCACCACACTACATCGAAGCCACAGTCGCCCAGAGTGGACTAAGCCAAGCATCTGAACCTAGAAACAGCATTAGTTATACAACTTAAACGACTTTATTTATTTATCGAATAATTGATTTTATCCACAGACCATCAGAATTGTGAGAGGATCATGTTGTGGGAAACCGTATTTCGATCTCTCTGTCTGTACACACAAACCGAAAGATTGACAATAAAGTTGTCATTGACTTTGTTAAAGCACCACTTATCTTATGTTTCCCTGAAAACGTTTATTGACATAAGTAATTCAACATAAAAAACTCTTTTATAAAATCAATTACTAATCACTTAAAGAAATTCTGGTGGACCAAGAAAAAACGATTGTGGGTGGAGATGGGATCCCTCTTTGAGTTTGAGCAGCCGTTGCTGAATTTAGAGCCCGATAACACATTGTATGCAACATTGGAGTACACATTAAACTCCTTACAGGCCACGACATGTGTTGTTAGGTCCCAGCTACATTTTACACGGGTGTAAAACCTGCAGACTTGAAACTGACAAGGAGCCACACAGGACCTGCTATCCAGTTCATAGTGTCCTCTGGTTTTGATGGATTTAGCCGATAGATCTGAACACTGAGCGCAGTGAGGTTGAGCCACTAACAGTGAGTGAGTGTTTGTATGGAAGCCCACACAGAGCAGAAATAATGTCTCCTCTCTGTCTGTGTGGAGCTCAGCTGTCAACACCGACCTACTTAGCCTGCCACACTGAGAAACCCGGCACAGAGAGAGAGAGGACGTGAGATTATGGGAGAGTGTGAGGGGAGGAGAGGGGGAGAAAACTGGAAAAGAAACAGAGAGAGGAGAAGGTTATGAGATTATGTGTGAGTCGGACAGAGAAAGGAGGGTTAAAGGATAGAAAAGTGCACAAGGAGACTGAGAAGGTGAAAAAAGTAAAAGACTGACACAGAGACAGGAAGCTAGGACATGGTGTGTGTGTGTGTGTGTGTGTGTGTGTGTGTGTGTGTGTGTGTGTGTGTGTGTGTGTGTGTGTGCGTGTGTGAACGACGAAGGTGAATGAGCATCGATCGCTGCTGCCAAAGCTGCCGAGCCGCTGATCAGATAAGATCCCGTCGAGCGCTGGAGTGTTTAATTGGGAATTGCGTGTGTGTGAAGCGGGCGATGTTATCACTTAACTCAAGGGCTTAAGTTTGATCTTTTATCTCCCTTTCTCTCCCTCCCTCTCTTTCTCTCACACGTCATTCAGGAGATGAACCAAATTCAGAGCCGTCGTTCTGCCGTGTGACGACTTCAAGGAGAAAACAAGGAGGGGAGGAAACAGCAAAAGAGGAAGGAGAGGGAGGTTTAGATATGTCATATAAGGAAACATAATCGAAAGAGGTTTATGATGAAGAAAGAAATAAGAGGGTGGAAAGTAGTAGAAGATGAGAGTAAGAGGAGAGCAGAGGAGGGAAGGTGAGATCAAAAGGGAGACGGTATAACAGAGACAAGACAAGAATAGAGAACACATAGGAAAGGAAAGAAGGAAAGATTGGAATAAACGGGAAACATTAAAGAACAAATGAATAACAGGGCACACAGGAAGAGAGAGAACAATGGAAAGGACAAGGGAAAAGGGGAAAAGGGAAAAGGGGAAAAATAAAAAAGGGGGAAAAGGGGAAAAGGGGAAAAGGGAAAAGGGAAAAGGGGAAAAGGGGAAAAAGGGGGAAAAGGGGAAAAGGGAAAAGGGGAAAGGGGAAAAGGGAAAAGGGAAATAAGGTAAGGTAAAAAGGACAAAAGACGTAAGGACGGAGAAATGAAACATAATTGAAATAAATAAAATGAAACCAAAGGAAGAAGAAATACCACAAAATCAAAGGCCTAGGGAGAGGGCAAAAAATGGAAGAGGAGAGAAAGGCGGCAAGGAACAAAGAAAGAGGTTACGAAGGAGCGAAGAGGAATAGAAAGGAGAGGACAGGAAAGGGGGAGAGGGGATGTGAGGAGATTTATGGCGTGAAGCTGAGGTAATGAAGGGAGAGAAGAAAAGGTAATGGAGGGAGAGAAGAAAGAGGAATGGAGGAGGAGGTGATCGGTGAGCTGCTGCCTGCACTGATCAATCACTGTTTATGGAACGATCAGAGGAACAGAGAGGAGGATGGATCGAGAGGGAGAGATATTTATTACGGAGAGAGAAATGAACGATAATGGGACAGAGAAAGCGAGATGGATGCAGAGTCAGATTCAAAAATGTTTTTGTCTTCCCTTCTTTGCTTATTTCTGTTTTCTCAGAACGCCTTTCACTCTCGATCTTCCTCTCAATCATCATCATGTGTATCCCTTGCTCTGTTGTCTATGGCTATTTAAAAAGGTCTGCTGGTGTGCTTAATGACGGCTGTGAACAACGGGGGTGTCTATACAGCTTTACAAATGGCAATCAATGTGGTTTAGGTAAACGCATGCTCTCTAGGTTGTTGGATACCAATTAACAGAATTATAAACTCTTCATTCAAAATACCTCCGAGCACTTAAACACATGTTGGATTGAAGGGGCACTATACCTATACCCATGGACCGGGACTTTAACACCCCCCCACACACACACAGACACACACAATCCAGCATCAGTCACTTTTTACGCTGCTATGGAAAATATTTATATATATGTCCTGCTTACTTTTGAAGTGAACGGTTATTTTGTGTTTTTTTGTAATTATTGAGTGTCCTTGTTCTTTAAAGGGCCCATGTCATGCTTTTCCGGTTATTACCCGTCCCCTTGTGTGTTATGAAGGTTTTTATGCATGTAAACGGTCTGCAGAGTCAAAACCCCTCAAAGTACACCCTGTAGCGAGTAAAACTCTAACACAGAAAAGACCTGTCTATGCTGCCCCAGAACGCCTCGTTGGAGATTTCTCTTTTTCCATTGTTTGCTTCCTGGGTTCTGTGACAACACATCCTCACTCCCAGGTCGGCCTATGTTGACGTTATGTCAAGGTCCCCTGTGTCGGCTTTTTCCAACGCAATACAATACAATACAGATTTCAGTATTCTGAGCCCCTCTCCCCATAACTGACGGCAACAAAAGTCCTACATTATTCAATTAAAATAAAGAAGTGAAAACAATAAGTGTGGCTTGATATTGAGTTAGAAAAAGGTTGATAAACGCTGTGAGAATGGATCTGAGGAGAGCATTTCTCCGTGATCCCATCTCCTCTATTACCAACGTTCAGGGAGCTCTATAGAAGTCAATGGGANGATCTCAAGTCGTCTACAACATACGTTTAGGGAGCTATATAGAAGCCTATGGACATCCCGGAAAGTTGAAAATGTACGCTAAGGGGCACCCCCCCCTTGCGTTGGAAAAAGCCGAGACAGGGGACTTGACATAACGTCAACATAGGCCGGCCTGGGAGTGAGGATGTGTTGTCTGTGAAGTGTGAACACCCAAATCAACAACAAATGACCAACCCGCGGAGCACCTCACACACCAGGATCCCTTGGCTAACTAACAGGGAGTCCCCATTGACTTGCATAGAGCTCCCTGGTTGGTAATAGACGAGTTGGGATGGCGGAGAAATGCTCTCCGCAGACCCATTTCTCACAGCGTTATAAACCTTTTTCTTACTCAATATCAAGCCACACTTCGGCTGTGAGTGTTTGTGTGTGCTCAGGATGAGTTTCGCTGTATCGCCGACCCGGAAACCTGTCCTCTCCTCGCAGCAGCGAGCCTCGCAACGTCCCGAACAATCAGAGGACACTGGGCTCACAGGGAGGGGGGGGCAGGAGCTCCAACAAGCCGTGTAGGACAGAGAGTGAATACACATACTTTACAGAGATGGTGTATGAGAAACCAATGTGAGTTTGGAAAATTGCACAATATAAATCTATTTTACTGGACCTCAACAATGGAATTATGATCAGTAGAACTGGCCATGACATGGGACCTTTAATGTGTTATTTTATACCTCGGGACTGTGGGAAACAGTATTTCGATCTTTCGGTGTGTAGAAACATATTTTGAGATTGACAATAAAGTTGACTTTGACTTTGACTTTGATGGCACTTCCATTAATTTGAGGCAACAGCGAGAGACAGAAGAAATACAGATACTGAGATATCTGATATTTGCTTTTCATTTCACCCTTTCATTCCTTTTCTATATCCTATCCTTCACTTCTCTCCTCTCCTCTACTTCCTTTTTGTCTTTCAGCTTGCTTCCTACTTTTAATTCCCTATTTCATTCCTTTCCTTTGCTTTCCTTTCCTTTCCTTTCTGCCTCGTCCCCAAAGATTTTGAAGGTATTACTTTCAGAACATTTCATCAATAGGAATTTGAGTTTCTGCTCGGCCGCCTGCCGTTACGGGTCAGCCCAAAACATTCAAACAGTCATTCCCAGTTTTCAGTAGATTAAATAAGTGCTCCCTTCCCTCTCATCCTGCAGATCCTCCGCAGCTCAACAAGGTTTATTAAAAGCAGTCCTTTACTTATCTAAAAGCTGCCTGTACAAACTGCCTTACATGAAAAGAGAAATTAAATTAAATTAAACTCATCTCACAAAAACCCAAAATAATTAAAAAGATACAACATTAAATGAAGAGGTAGGAAATTAAAAAAGCATAAAAAAATGAATTACTTCACATAAAAAAGATGCTTTAAAGTTAGTCTTAAGAAAAGATTAAAAAAATGATTCTCACAACAAAAGCCTTAATTCTTCCACTGTTGGTTATGGATATATAATCCTTATATTCTTATTTTTCTTCACTTTATCCCAATTTCTCTGTGGCTATTTTCCCCCAAAACAAAACAAACATAAAATCTTATAATCACGTATCTTTTATAACGAGTTGAATTAACCGTAAAACAACTAAACTCTGTTACAGACTCTTTTTGAGTGATTTTTAATATTAATTGACTTAACAGTCAAGGCTGTCAGTGTTGAGAAGGAAAAGAATGAAAGCTGCTTGTTATTCCACAAAGAAAACACCAAGGTCGAGCGTCTTGTCAGGGTTTTAAAGAACGTTCTGGTAGAAAAAACGATTAAAAGGCTTTTCAGTTAGTTGGGAACACATTTCTTTCATAACTTGAGTGATACATTGGCCAATTTAACTGTCAGTCCTGCACTCACAGTTATGATTGAAGCATTAGATATTTGTGATTGTATTTTTTGCTGCAAAAGGGCAGGAATATCATTTTTAGCAGGAGGTATTCATTATTGAAGGTTTTGGCTTATCGCTCCATTTTAAGTTAGTTAATTACACTGAGACGAGGTAAATGAGACATGGTACATTACAATGAATCATCAATAAATTGGACCTTGAACTTGTCTACAAATAAAAAAATTAAACGGTTTTGACGTTTAGTTGTTTATTTAGTGGGGAGTTTGATTCGGGTATTTATTGAAGTATTTTATGTCGTAGAACAAAACGTGACATTCTAGTAAGCTTGTGTTAAAGGTCACATGTCATGCTTTTCCGGTTATTACCAATCCCCTTGTGTGTTATGAAGTTTTTTCTGCATGTAAACGGTGTGCAGAATCAAAACCCTCAAAGT